CTCTGTGTGTGATTTGGTGATATAGCCTGCTTGTTAATGTCAGATCGCACATCATTACAACACTTACCATATTAATCGCAGACGATGCTGTATCGCACGCCCCAGACTCGACTTGAGTGGAAAAAGAATCATCCGCGGTTGTGCGCGAAGCCTCATGAGCACATGAGCAAAGGTGTTTTTAGTCTAACTTGCAGACGGCAGACCACTGATTCGTCAAACCTGCTTTCCTGCAGTCCGTGTTCTTCTGACTTCTGACTATTTTGTAGTAAGTAACGAATATGCTTCAGTGAAATGTATCGGAGTAAAAGTATACATTTTAATTAGGAAATGTATAGTGGAGTAAAAGTAAAAGTTGGCTGAAATATAAAAACTCAAGTAAAGTTCAGATACTCCCAAAAAATACTTAAGTACTAACGAAGTATTATTACTTCGTTACAATACATCACTGCATGCTATGTCCCTGCGTATTACCTCCAACCTACGCCACTGCAGACACTATTTGACTCTGTCCAACGAGATGAAATGAATGACATGTGTTTATTCTCAACTTTTTTCTCGAAATGTAACTTTTTTTTTTCTCAAAATTTAACAACTTTTTTCTCGTAATTTAATGTTTATTCTCAACATTTTTTTCTCAAAATTTAACAACTTTTTCCTCGTAATTTAATGAGTTTATTCTCAACATTTTATCTCGACTTTTTTTTTCTCGAAATTTTAACGAGTTTTATCTCGAAACATAATGACTTTATTCTCAAAATGTAATGAGTTTAATCTCAACATTTTATTTCGACATTTTTCTTAAAATTTTACAAGTTTGATCTCGTATTATAATGACTTTAATCTCGAGATGGCTTTATTTTTTTAATATTGCTTGGCCCTAATCCTCTTCCGTAAGTAGGTATCGCCTCATAGAAAATAGCTGGGGGTTTTTTCCATGTGTTGTATTTACTGTGAATCATGCTGTTTATTTATTTATTTTTGACTACATACAGGGCCAGCATAGCTTCTATTATTTATGCTGTCTGAGTAATAATGTGAAATGTATTTATAAAGAGCCTGTTTTGTATTCTTGTGAGACCATGAGCAGACCAAATCATTGAAATTTGTCTCAAGCCCAGCAATTTTTATTCATAATTTAACACAGTTAGCCGTTTTGGCCAGAAATAATGCTTAAGGCAGTTACCATGGCAGTGTACCAGATGTACATGAGAGAGACATGTGTTCAGAAATATTTAAGTTACGGAGTGGACTGGGAGTCTGAGATGAAGAAAATTTGTTTCCAAAAGCTTAATAATATATTACTGTTCAAAAGTTTGGGGTTGGTAAGATTTTTTTTTTAAAGAAATTAATACTTTTATTCAACAACAGGGATGCAATAAATTCATAATAAAATAAAATAAATGCAGTAAGATTTCTATTTTATATAAATGCTGTTTTTTTTTACTTTATATTCCATCAAAGAATCCTGAAAATGTATCAGTTTTCACAAAATATTGAGCAGCACAACTGTTTTCTTTAGCAAACAAAGCAGCATGTACAAATTATTTCAGAATCATGTGACATTGAAGACTACACTAATCAGATTTGCCAGCACTAAAAAAAAAACAAAAAAACATCACATTAAAATAAAAAACAGTTCTTTTAAATTGTAATTTCATAATAATACTGATTTTGCTTTTGTATTTTTCATCAATTAAATGCAGCCTTGGCATGCAGAAAGACAATATATATATATATATATATATTATAGTGTATTATAGTGTTATATATTATATATATAACAGTGTTATATATATAAACCTATGTTTCATCATGTTCTAAATTGCCTTTTGATTACAGAGGTTAGTATTTGTGTTTTCCCATTGGCAGTAAAGAATAAGAACAGAACAGATGGATGAAATGTCTAAATGTAGAGAGCCAATACTCAAACAGCTCTGTGGATAATTAGCACTCAACCTTCAGGGAAAGTACAACGTCTAAAAGAATTAAATGATTTGCATTATCCCATGGTCAGTTTAAGTGAAATTCATAAAAAAAGGATTAATTTAATATTACATTAAATCATTTAGGTATTTTTAACAACCTTTCTTAAAGGGGTCCTATTATGCTCTTTTACAAAGTCTTGATTTTGTTTTGGGGGTGTACTAGGCTCCTATACACTAGGTTGTTCGAAAAACACATTATTTTTCACATATTTTACATTATTACAACACCTCTCTCCCCAGTCTGGCATGAACGGCTCGAATAGTTCCTGTATCAAATGAAGGCCCGCCTTCTGAAATACGAAATGTGCTGTGATTGGTTAGCTGGGCCAGTGTGTGTTGTGATTGGCAGCACTCGGCGCCTGGTCGGGAAATGTCACGCCCCTTACCATAGCCGCCTGCGAGCTTCAGTGTAAATATTTCGTCAAAATCAAATAAATTTGAGCGCGATTTAAACCCGGATGATTGTAACCACTCTAAGTTCGTCTGCCTTGGGAAAGCTAGCGTGTCTGCGACATAGTGATAACACTAGTTGCCTTCTCTAGTGCAGCTCAACTAGGTCTCGTCCCATTCGTCGATATTTGTGACATCACAAATCCCGGAAAATATGCGTTGTAGTTTTTGAAAAATTAACTTTGAAGTGGACTTTGAGCTTTGTAACTATGCAGATCTTTTTTATGCTCAAACAGCAACATTACAGACTAACTAAAGTTGAAAAAGTGAAAAAGCATAATCGGACCCCTTCAACAAACTTAAGTAAACAACTGTATTGCATTGAATGGCTACAACAACTGCTACAACTATATAATTACTCTTTTTTTGTCCAGTGACATTAAATACAATTAATGCATGTTGTTGTAGAGTGTACATGATAATGATGATACCTCTTTGTTTCAGGTTGCTGTATTCGGTTCTTCCTCCGTCTGTAGCCAATGAGCTTCGTCATAAGCGGCCCGTGCCTGCTAAACGATACGACAATGTGACAATTCTTTTCAGTGGCATTGTTGGGTTCAATGCGTTCTGCAGCAAACATGCATCAGCAGAGGGAGCCATTAAAATTGTCAATCTGCTCAATGACATCTACACTAGATTTGACATTCTCACTGATTCTCGGAAGAATCCTTATGTTTATAAGGTGAGTGGCTTTCAAACTGGGATTTGGAATTCAGATCTAACCGTATCTGTATTTTTTGTTTATTGATAGACAGATAAAAATACCTTTATAACCATGCTCAAAGACATAAACAGAGATATTTTTGGCCACATCCAGAGATATTCAGCACACAAAGAAAAAACTCTGTACGATTGTGACTGGCCTAAAAATATCTTGACAAAAATGACAACTCTTGACAAATATGTGTGAATGTGCTTGTGAGAAGTCAAATTAGCCACAGTGTAAAGTTAAAGCATTATGCAGTAGGTGCAAAATCTGAAAATCTAATCTAAAATGTCACTTTGAGTAAACTTAAAGTAATAAAGGTGTCACTATCAACAAAAGTAATAAACCTTCCAGCTACAAAGTTCAAAGACAAAAAAAAACAACTTTATAAGTATTTTTATAATACATTGTTTTATGATAAATCTTTTATGATGTACCTAATTAGATCAATAAATTAATGACTATATTTAGAGCAGGGTGCCCTAAATATAGGAGGTTAATTTATTTATTAAATCTTGATGTAGGAAACACAGAGTGTGTATACAATACTGGGATAAAAAAAGAAGCACATTGAATTTACTAATTAAATTTATTGGAGGCCTTTAGATTATATGTACATACAGTATGCAGTTGGTAATTAGGGAGTATTAATCAAACAACCACCCACAAATCCACTTTCAGATGAAAGTGCAAATTCATGCATAAGTACCAGATGTTACGTATAATTACTACTTCTGCTTTAAAATGTGAGCTATAATATACACAACTAGTTTAGCTAAAAATAGAATATGAATTTATCATACCCATAAAATAATTGGATGTGATTTTTTTTCTTTCAAATCATTTCACAAGCTGGATTAGACTCCTCTGGAGGCCATATTTGGCCCACAAGCTGTATGTTTGACACACTTGGTTTAGATATTGCAAGTGTAATGTGAGTCTTTTGAAATTCCAGAGCAACCAGCCATGGTGTTGTATTTTTTTGTAGCTTTAAATTTAATTAACTTTCTTGTCTTAACTATCTGTCCCTCATAGTCTGTACTTTTCCAACTACACACCATGTACAATGCTCTCTTAAAAACAAGGGCATGAGAACATATGCTTGATTTACATCCTAGGCATACAGACAAGAATGCACTTCATGGAGCTTTGCTAACTAAATAAAACGGGCGGGTAGAATTTCAAGGCTGGCTCACCAAAAAAAGCAATATTTACTTAAAGCCATCCGTATCTATGTGGTCCAAAGGTCTCATAAAGGACTGGGCTCTCTCTTTAGAGTTTGTTGTGATACAATATAGATATGTGGTTGGAGAATGAAACACGAGGAGTTAAATTGCCAACATTTGTGTGCATTGTCAAGAAAACTTGGATGAATCAAAAGTATTCTAAAATTGGAGGATAGTTTCTCCTGATATTTTCATTTTTTTATTTTATTTGGCTGTATTCATATAACAAACTAGGACCAGTTATTATCTTGTAGTCAAGGCCACAAGATATCTTTAAATGTTTTTTAGTTCATTTAATCAATACATGTTCATTAAAAATGTTAAGTACACACACATTATATATATGTGTATATATATATATATATATATATATATATATATATATATATA